AACAAAACAGTTTTGATATAAATTGTATCTCAGTTTTTTTAGTTCAGTAAAATTTGTCTCTCATTTTTGTGTGTTTTCTGCAACTAGCATGGTGGTGCTTTGCTTATATCCATACTTGTATTCCCTGAAGTGCCTAGCATGGTACTTTTTAAATTATTACTAACAGCTTTGTTGAGGTTTAATTTACATATCATAAGCGTCACTCATTTAAATGCACAAGTCAATGATTTTTCTATACTTACAGAGTTATGCAAACATCACCACAATCTAATTTTAAAATATTTCCATCACCCCCAAAAGAAACCTGGTGCTCATTTGCAGTCATTGCCCACTCCCAATTCTGGACTTAGCCCACCACTAATCTACTTTCTGATTCCACAGATTTGCCTTTTCTGAACACTTCATATAAGTTGAATCATACAGTATGTGATCATCTGTGCCTGACTTCTTTCACTGTGAGCATAATGTTTTTGAGGTTCATGTGCTGCAGCATTTGTCAGTATTTTGTTCCTTTTTATTGCCAAACATAATTCCATTGCATGGATATACCACATTTTATTTATCCATTTATCAGCTGATAGACATTTCAATTGTTTCCACTTTTTGGCTACTGTTAATGACGCTGTATGAACATCTGCATATAAGTCTTTGTGTAGACAAATGTTTTCATTTATTTTGGGTAAATACCTAGGAATGAAGTTGCTGGGATTAATATTTTGAGAAAGTTCTAAATTGATTTTTTAGCCTAGTACTTCATTCTAAAATATTTTATGATTTGAATTGCTACCAATCTATAGTCAAAATAATTTTTCTTGAAAGCCAAGTTGCATCCTGGGAACGAATTTTCCACTACTTGCCTTCTATTGTTACAAATTCTCTTAGAATAATATGCACATACTCATAAAGTCCCAGGATATTAGTTGCTACTTTAGTTTATCTCTAGTGTTTTTCCCCAGTGTAGAATAAGCTTTAGAAACAGCAATCTGAATCACCTATACTTTGTTTAGGTGATTTTTTTCTTCCATACTATAAATTGTATAAATGATAGTTACTACCACTATAAAAAATTTTCCTTCATAGAACTCACGACTCACTCAGCCTACATATTCAATTTGAAAAGCCTTGAAACCTAGAACCCTGTTTTAGTTACATAGTTCCAGAGTCTTAGTAGAGTCTATTTCCTGTCTTAGGCACTAAATGTTTAATAAATGAAGAGACATTCTATTTGACCAATGAAAGAAGTGTGGTTCACTCACAGGAAACTAGGGAATTTATTAACCCTTAGGTTTGGTAATATACACATAAATACTGGTGATCATGTTTATTATATTCAGATCAGTCTTAGATATTGTTATTTTGTTTCCAGACTTCTTTCTTTCTCTTCCATTCCCTAGATCCCCTTCCTATGTTATTTGCATTTTTTCCAGATTTTTAAGTCCAAGAATGCATGCATGTTTTATTCTTTTATTCTGGTGTAACAAAGGCCAGGTGAGGATGTGCATCAATAACTAATACAATCAATAGAAGTGAAATCACTGAGCTTGGTCTTACCTGAGGACAGAATTCTATAGCCATCTCCCCTGGGAAGCAGTCTTATACCATTTTTGGTCCAGTGAATTGAGGGAAATGGAACTCCCGAAGCAGTGCAGGTAATTACTGCTGGGGCATGTTTGGTTACTAGGAAGTCCGTAGGCTCATCAGCTATGGAAGGTGGAACTAAAACAACAATAACAAAAAGAAAAAAAAAAAAACTACACATTTCCAACTTTTAAAGGTTTCCAAAGAATTACCATAATCCTCTTTGTGCTCTGAAAGTGAAAGTTAGTAAGTAGAAAAGGGATACCTCCCTTTTATTTCTTGGTTAATACCTGGGTGATGACATAATCTGTACAACAAACCCCCATGACACAAATTTACCCATATAACAAACCTGCACATGTACCCCTGAAGTTAAAATAAAATTTTTTTAAAAAAGGAAAGAAAAGGGATCCCTCTTGTAAAGTAGCGGAATGATGAAGTGTAGTATTATCATCTTTCAATCCGTGTTCCCAGCCAGTTCTACCTTGGACAGTGAGATCCACAGTTCTTTTATCATCTCCAGCACCATTTGTCACAGTACACTCATAGGTTGCAGTGTCATCCACAGAAGGGGAAATAATTACTAGTGAACCTGAAGAAAGGAGCCTAGAAGACAGATTTCAAAGCATGAGATACTATATGTAGGTTTTCATACACTTTTCCAGCTAGTTCAAGATGATACCATGTTGAAAATTGATGAAAACAGTACTTCTCCCTCATGTTAAAATTAACATCATGTACCTGAAGAAAATTTTATGCATTAGAGATTATATGTTTATGTTTTATGTAGTAGCTTTCTAGAGCCTCAAACTTGATATAAAATTTACAGGAAGTATTTGTTGGAAGGATTGTCTCAAGAGGGAATCTTATATTCTCTGAATGCTCATATCATGATAGACCTTGCTCTTTTAGGAGAAATACAGTACAATAACACTGAAAACAGCCACTGTTTACTGTTTACTGAGCATCAGATACACTCCTGGCACCATCTTAAATGCTTTGGATAAATTATCTCTAAATTTCACAATAACCTAGCAGGTTGATATTTGTTTATTTCCATTGGCAGATGGCTAATGAGTGGGTCTGTGTGTCTCATCCTTTTCCCTACTTCGCATGTCTCATTAAATGTGTGGCTACCTTTTAGATAATATGGCAATATCTATTTCTATATACATATATATATAGTTTTGAACAAGTGTGTGTGTGTGTGTGTGTGTGTGTGTGTGTGTATGAAACTAAAATTTAGAATACTTCAAATTTTAGGAAGTTTAGTATGATTTAAAATAGGTCTAAGAATTATCTATTTTACTTCACACTGTGAATGACAGAATAGAAATGATTTAATAAAAACGCTAATAAAAACATATTTAACATACTTTTTATTCAAAAGCATGGCACATTTTCCGTATTGTATATACTTTCAAGTCACTGAACCTCCCAATGCCAAAAGATTAAAAGGGTGAGAAAGAGAGAGAAAGGATAGAATTTCAACTGAAGCACCCCTAGTTTCATATTTCCTGGGGTATGGGAATTGATTTTTGTCAAAGTGGACATAAGACAGCTTTTGCTTTTAGGACTACAGCCAATGTTTGACAGAGTAATGATCTAACAGCTCAGGTAAGATACAAAAAATGATTCTCACCTATAACATCAGAAATTCTTAGTGATTTAAAGTTTAGCCTTTGAAAAATAGATATTGCCGTATTATTAACTATGGTAGTAAAGCTTGGAAAAAGGCAAAAGAAAAAATGGAGAAAATGCTGTTTTTCCTCCCTACACATTCTGCCAATATCTAAATTGTATTTTAAGGTATAAAATTTGACTTTTAGTCTACAACTAACGCTTGTATCTACTTTTACAGAATAGTTTTTCTTTTATATAAAATGATGTTTTAATTCTTTGCCTTTATAAAATTCTAAAAGGTATTGAACACCTAAGGCAGGATGTAAATCTAATGACTGACAGTCATCCACAGGGTATGTGTATGCAAACTTGACCTATAATTCAGAAAAATATTTTAGGCTGAAAAACGAAGTCCATATTAAGGAAAAAATACCCACTCGCTACTAGCTAATTTGTTATAGTCTATATATTAGCTGACCCCACTGATAGAACTAAAATGCTGATTCATTACAAACTGTTTCCAAGTAGTTGGTGGGGGGTTTTGATTAAATTATCCTTACCTGTATGAATTCTGATTTTGATCCACATTAAGAAGATGCCCATTTTTTCTCCAATTGATTAATGGTTTTGGTATCCCAGTAGCCTCACAAGCCAGAGTAGTTTGAACATTTACTGTTACAGTCATGTTGGTAGGACCCGGAGCAATAGATGGAGGAACTAAGACAACGTCACCAAATAAGAAGGAAACACAGTCAGCAAATAGTATGCAATTCAAAATGTATCTACTGAACTGAAATGAGTGATTAACTTGCCTCCTAGTTATGAGCACAACAAGGTTATGTGAATTTTAACAGTGCTGTGATAATATTATCTATACAAAGGAGAAAACTTGGGGGTTGACTCTTTATAATATAATGTAAATTGCTTAACTAGCCTTCAGTGTCAAGGTCTTTATGACCTCACTAGTTAGACTATCAAAGAGCATTTGACACAGAGACTGGATGTTGTCTATAAAAGTATATTTACCATGGACCTGTAAATCTATTCGCCTGCGATCTGTCCCAGCAGCATTGGTGGCCATACACAAATACCGTCCAGTGTCAGTGACATGTGCTGACTGAATATGAAGGAATCCATTTTCCAAGATGGAATATCTGCAAGAGAAATCACAAGTGAAGTCCTCTGAATCAGCCTTTTTGGATTATTCATATTTTGTCTGAGGGAAGTGTTAAACACTTGGTGAAATCCATTCAGTTTTTTTCCTGTTTCAGATGACACAGGTTTACAATACCATTGATGGAAGAAAAGGACATGATGCAAAGGTGCATAGATGGGCTTGTGATCTTGAGTGGATTATAATCATTACATAGACATAAGCCTTAGGAATTATGCTTTTAAAACACTAAATTTTGGCCTGGAGTGGTGGCTCATGCCTGTAATCCCAGCACTTTGGTAGGCTGAGGCAGGTGGATCACCTGAGGTCAGAAGTTCGAGACCAGCCTGGCCAACATGGTGAAACCCCATCTCTAGTAAAAATAAAAAAAATTAACTGGGCATGGTGGCACGTACCTATAATCCCAGCTACTTGGGAGGCTGAGTCAGGAGAATCACTTGAAGCCAAGATCATGCCACTGCACTCCAGCCTGGGCAACAGAGCAAGACTCCATCTCAGAAAAATAATAAATAAAATACTAAGATGAAATGATTCACTCTAAGCATAATGAGACCAAAATAGTGCACTAGGAAAAAAAATTAAGAATTTGTATTTCAGGTCTTACAGTATTTTTCTTATTTTCCAGAATTGTTACCTTGCGTGATTCCCAGCTAGAACAGCTCCATCCTTTCTCCATGTTATCCTTGGAGCTGGCACACCTTCAGCAATGCATTCCAATACAGTTGACTTATTTAAAAGAATTACAAGACTCTGGGGGCCACCGTTTATGTTTGGAGGAACTGAACAAGGGATGCACATGAAAAAATTCGGTTATGCTAAATAAAACAGGCTGCATGAAGACCCTGAAGATGTAACATGAGGTGAGCTTCGAGTCAAATGTATAGCTTTGTCTACACGAATCTAGGTTAGTATAAATAGAATTGAGGTTTAATTCCTGAAGTCTTACTCAAGATACTTTGTGTTTAAAAATAAAGGGTAGATAGGGAGGGGAATTTTAAATGCTGAATATGATGTATGATATCTGGCTTGCTGTACGAGAGGCTTGAATAAAAGTCAGCTCTAGTCTGATGCAAATTAAAGATGATATTTCTTATTTCTCTTTGGCCAAATAATGGTCAGAGAATGTTAACCCTGGAACAGCTTCACTTTAAATGAAGAACAGAAAGTGGGCTGTTTTAACAAAAAACACATCTGTGACTAATCATGCAATTTTCAGAGCTGCATTTTATTGATCATTAAGTTCATATGGGAATAGACAGCCTGAATTTTAATTTTAGTATTAGAGATATTAGTTGTGTGGGTCACCCAATATTCTGTAAAATTTTATATATTAAATATCCAATAGACTGTTTTGGGGAAAGTCTACATTGTCTTCCCAAATGTTGGCACTTAGATGTCATATTTAATAGAATTACAGTCCTATGACAGTCTCTGTCTGGCACATATGTACTCTCAGCCACCATCAATTAAGGTGAACTAAATGATGGGCCATTTGTTATCCAGTGATTTCGTGTACTGACTTCCTCAATGGTTCTGATTCTGAATGACACAAAACATCAGGATCTGCTAATAACAGCTGGACATATTCTCTAAGAGTAAAATATCTCCAGTTATGTTTTTTGGAAATTGAGTTAATTTGCAATATAGATCTAATACAAATACTACATGTTGCCTTTTTCAAAAGCAGTAAGATAGCACACGGCTTCATTTAGTATGCTCATATGAAAAAGCTATCATCTCTTTGAATGCCCTTGGTTAGATTTCTAAATGAAACAATGAATATCTTTTCTTACCATTTACAGTGAGAATAAATTCTCTTGTAGTCTTTCCTGCAATGTTGCTGGCAACACAGGTATAATTGGCTGTATCACCTAGATCTGCATTGTTAATTTGCAAGTATCTCCCTCCAGATAGGATTCGCACTCGAGGTGTTGCCTGGATTCAGCAAGAAAATAAATTTACCATTAAAATGTCAGGAGAAGAGAATATATATTATTTCACAGCATCAAAAGTAATAATAGTAAACGGTGAAGCTGCTGTCTGTCAGCATGCTTGTCTGCTCCTCCACCATTTTTGTAGTATCAAAAAAATCTCTGGAAACTGTTTTAATGAGTGACGTTAAGTCAAAGGAAGAAGCAGTATCCCCAGTTCCTTTGACAATATGATCCATTCAAGAATGGGCAGATGAACAAGTCAGACCTACCAGAGACCTCCTCTAGACTCTGCTGGCAGTGTCGGGGAAAAGGTGTGCCCTTTTTTCTAGAATCACAGATTGCGAGGATGACCTAAGCCTAGTGACAATTTTATCATGCGGAAACAACCTGCCCCAAATCTAAGGCAAAGCAAGTAGGGTTAAGATTTCAGAGAAAGGAGAGATCCCTCATGTATAGTTAGAGCCTCTGGAAATTCACCAATTATTGTAGCCAATAAATGTCCTTTTGGTTTTTACTTTTCATATAAGTTGATTTGAGTTTGAATTCTGTCACTTACAACTGAAATCTTCCTAATTAACTTTGGTTAACTTAGAGGAAAATGTTGTGCTCTAACATTTTAAAATATAAGTAAATAGTCAGGATCCAAGATGGCCGTTTAGGAACAGCTCAGGATTGCACCTCCCAGTGAAAGCGCAGAGGGTGAGTGGACGCCGTGTTTTTATTGCCCACAGACTAGGAAATTCCCGGGCAG